GGTAACCATATGGCTGGACCATTCTGTAGGCTCAGTTACCTTTGTTATGACGCCCTGATCCCCCATACGCTAAACTTCCGCTCTAGTCTTGTCCTCCAGGGCCACGGGCACCCTTCGAGCTGGTACGACGACACCCACGGCGCCGGGCTTGAGTTTTATTTCGTACTCGTAGTCCTTGAGCACACCCAGTCCTGTGAAGACATCTGCGAAAGGTTGGGCTGGCTGGTAAAGTTGATCGACGTCAATGTGTTGTACCCGGCGGATAAATTCAAGGCGTTCGGCTGCTGAACCACTCAGAGTCACTGGTACACTTTGCTCTATGATCTAGAATGTTTCGTGGATCACCCTCTCATTGGCTGAAAGCTGCAGGTGCACTTTTGCTTGCGCGGTTGCCTTGTGGCCGAAAAATGCTGTTAGCGCGACTCGGCAAGCCTGCTCTGGTAGATCCGGTAGCTTTGCAACGTCCCTTCTTGAAATGACGCAACAATAACCCCCGTGTCTAATTTGCAAATTATTGGTTGGCCTTCAATGTCCACCGTCGCGCTCCAGTGGTTTGTGTTGACCGTGCTCACCGTTAATGTTTGCAGAAAAAAAATGTCGTCTTCTGCGCATCATTCCCGTAGTTCTTTCTTCTTGCAAGGAATGGTTCGCGAAGGCGTTGCCGATTTGCATGCACGGGCAAAGTGGTTCAATCCTCCGCACTTATTGCATGTTCTACCGGTGGCGGGGCATCTTTCGCCGCGGTGTGCGCGATAGCCGCAGCTGCCGCAGGCATCCCCTTTCTTTGCGACTGCGTTAACTGCCGTGTCCTGCGCTGTCTCCGCGGCTTCACCGATTTCACGAAACTGCTGTTTTCCTTGCTCTTGCGTGCGACAGATATCGATAGTCTTCTTGAATGAAGGGTTTTCCGCAATCAGTTTCTGCTGCCGGTTCTTGTCACGAATACCCAGAATAATACGACTGCGCAGCATCCGATCTTCCATTACCCCAAATTCACAGTTTGTGGCTAACATTCGTAGCTTCGTCAGCCACTCATTGAAAGGTTCCCCTTCCCTTTGGTTTCTAAACCCAAATAAAAATTCATGATAGGTCAAGTTTGTTTCTGGCTTGTAGAACTCTGCAAACTTGGCAATTAAGACGTCTACGTTATTTTTGTCCTCTTCAGCCTCAAACGTGAAGGTGCTGTATACCTTCCTTGCCTCTTCGCCAATAATCACTAGCAACGTGGCTGCTTGCACTTCTTTCGCTTGCTTCGTCAACTGGGTAGCAGTGGAAAATAGCGCGAACTCACTCTTCCAAGTTTTCCATGCAAGCCAGGTGTTGCGCGATGTGTCCAGCGGCTTTGGCGGCGCCAAGATTGTTGACCGAAAAATCGCTGGCGGCGTGGCCATTTCAGCTAGGCACCGCTGCCACCATGTAAGCGGGCCTGCAGTCGGGTGATGAACAACGTTTATTGTCGTTGAAACGAAGTAGATATAGGCAAGAATGGTGACGTAGCAGGTCACGTGATTTTAAAGGAATAGCTGGTGACGTCGGAGTGACTCAGCCATGCTACAGGGGTAACCAATCATGTCTGGGCTAGTAGAGTATTCTGTTAGGGTAGGTATCTATCCAAAGTCTGCTGGGCTTTGAAGTTATCCAGACGTGCTGCCAAAGTCGAAGGGAGAGCCGCAAGTACCTGGGATACTTCCACGTTGTTTGCTGAAACTGGGTGAGACTTGACGGTCCCTGGACAGAGTGTCCGTCGTGGCTAGGAATTAGCCTGGTACATATCTGGTAGAGAACTGGTGCGGAATCAGTCGTATCCGGAAACGTTGTACCCTTGTAGGCATGACGTCGAGGTCAGCTGAACCAAGCAGCTTGGCAAATGGTCTGTGATTGGTCTCGATGATAAACTTGAGGCCCCACAATAACTTCTCGAATCTTTGGACAGCCCACGCAACAGCCAGAACTTGCTTCACAATTAGGCTGTATTTATGCTCTGCAGTGGTGAGAGCACTTGATGCAAAAGCGACCGGATGCCTTTCGCCGTTATGTTGGTCTAGTAAGAGTACGGCTCTAAGTGCACAAGAGCTAGCATCGTCAGATACAATTGTTATTAACCGCGTTACACGTCATAACATCCGGAAAAGAGGCACAAAAATGGGTCATTTTTAGGGATTCGCAGGCTGCTCTAGCGTCGCTGCAAAGTGATAGAAACTCTTTCTAAACGCTTCCCTATTGTATGAGACCTTAAAAGAAATCGCATAAGCAAGTGAAATGAACCACGAGATCACATTTCAACGAATACCATGTCACTACAATATTCCAGAAAACACTGCACTCGACGCCGCGGCAAATAGGGCCCACAATACGAAGGAAGAATTTTGCTGCCAATTTCACGCACAAAAATGCGTCTACTCCTTAGACAGATAACCTGTAGCGTCACCAAATTCAAATGGTTCGACAAAAAATCTAAAAGTTCAAAATTATATTTAATAGACCCTTGCATAAAGCTAAGCATTCCATTGGAGTTAAAAAGTAAACAGGAGATTTGAAACATTGGTCCACCGCCCACGGCTTCGTACAGCATTTATGCGACATTTCCTGCACAGGATAAAACGTTTACCTTGTACAGACTGCTCCTGCGTACACCTTCACCAAAATGTACGTCAGCTGCTTCTGGAGGGCCCAAAATATGAGACACATTAAAAAGTATTACGAGCAAGTTTGCAACTTTTATATATAGGTGGCCTTTCACAGTGATGGAAATACTAGGTCCATGGCCAACTGCACATTTCAAAAACAGCACTTGTCGCCTTCAAGAAGTTTCTTGAAGAATCAAATACTTTATGGAACTATTGACCTACGTGGTGTCGCCTTCACGCTAAGGACATGTGTAATATTTAGCTAGCTTGTTTCATATGTGTAATTATTTGCCTCAGTGTGAACTGACCTTATGTGTGGAACTTGTTTGCGCAAGGATCTTTTTTTTCTGAGGCGGGGGGGGGGGGGGGTCAAAAACGACAATTCCGTTTCTTCAGGGGCGCGTGACAGGGAGGCGCAAAGCTTACGCGTTGTGTTTGACAACGCTTGCTTTTGGGGTGTGGGGGGAGGGGGGCGAACGAAGGGGGCAGGCGAGAATTCTGGAGGAGGCTTCAGCCCACCCGTGTCACCCCCCCCGCCCCCCCCCCTATAGTGTCACTGGCGTAGTCGAAACATGCGAGATAATGATCGTACCCCACTGGCTTCGCTCACTTGATTCGTGGAGATGCGTGGATTTTTTTTATTAGTATTATTGTGCCCATTTGAGTGGCTGAGACGCGGGGGCTGCGTGTGCGAGGAGAACCGAGGAGGGAAACGCGCGTCCGAGTGGAAGGGAGAGTATTTTCCTAAATAAAGAGATTTCAAAACTATATGCGCTGAACAAGGCTTTAACTTTCCTATTCATTGTCGGCATAAACGTATCGCTAGCGCGCAGGCACTCGCCACATGTATGTTTAGGTGGGTATCAACCAGTACTGTATCATATGTTTAGGCGGACTGTACCATGCTCACTTTGCGCGGTCGGCGGTTATTCAAACATTGATCGTTTCTGTTACAGCTCTATCATTGAGTGGTGCAAAAAGGGATCGACTATCTCTCAGCGAGAGCGATTATGAACATTTACCGAAGACGAACACGATGAAATAGAAGCACTGATACCAGAATAATACTGACGCTATTCGACCATCAATATCCTACCTTTGACCCCTCCACACCTAATTCGATAACCGTCCCCTTCACTGAAACTGACTAAAATTATTTCATTCATAGTTTCCTAGGTGCCTTAGGTCCCTAGGCTCTGCCCTAGGTACTGAGTACATGATCACGTGATACAAGTATGTCGCGCGCGGCTACAGTCGCTTGTGTACTAGCGCGGCTGTTGTGTGGAGGTTTTAGCGTATTCTTTTGTGGTTTCTCGTTTAAACGTTTTGAGTTTGGCGTCGTGACGTAGATAATTATGTTACAATAGCTGTCATTTGAGAACAGCCGGGGTTGAAACAGCTAAAATTTGGCGGGGTGATGTCACTGTTCGTGAACGCCCGTCAATGTGCCTGACCGGGTTGACACATCAATACAATGTTTCAGGAGCGCGCATATTTATTGTGCCTACAGGTATTGGAGGCCCACGGGTGCAACTCTACAAGAGCAAAGTGGTTGAGCTCGGGGCCACAGTTGTGGGCGACGAAAAACAGGCCACGCACATAGTCGTGTCGGAGGTCCTTGGAAAGAGACCGTTTCTTCAAAATATTGGATACAGTAAACTTGCCTACAGCTGCGAAATTGTGAAGTGCCACGTGGCTTAGCGAGTGCTTGAAGAACAGCTCATTAATGCAAACAACGACGCACGAACTGCCCTGGAAGTCATCGCCGAGTACGTGCAGCGACAGTAGTGTTTCATCAGAGCGAGCGAAACTTGAGCTTGCAGATTGCGTAGATCAGCCTGCTGCGTCTCGGGGCGAGGAATCCTCACTGATGCAAAAAACTGTGGTTTCGGTACGTCCAACCTGCGCATTGATCGTTAAGTGTTTGAAGTTTATTTGCTCTGTGGTTTTACAGGAGTGGGAGCAGAGGCTAAGGCTGTGCAGCTTGAAGAGGCCACTGATCCCGATTGCAGTTTGGCACGCAGGCCGCTGAACGTCGTAGTATTATAACATATGACTAGTGCAATTTCTGACATTGCACAATAACAACAGAAATAAGCATATAGTTAATTAATGATCCTAAACATAAGAAGGTTCGCCCACAATGCAAGTTGATTATCTGATGTTAGAAATCAAACACAAACATATCAGGCATACTTAAAATGCTGTGTTATAGTTTAAGTGGAATCTGTGAGACCGTGTGGACGATTTAATTATGTAGGTATTTGTATTTCACATGTTGTCCTCCATATTGGAATTCTTTAGTGTTGCTTGTGCATGTTCCAAGTGTTGAGTGTATGCCCAGTAATTATAATATATAATCTTTTCACTCTAATGTTTGGATCCAGGACAAGTGGGTTTGTGCAGTTCCCTTCACAGACGCTTGTGAAGAAGAATGCCCACATAACAGACCAGTTGGAGGTGGATGCCTATTGCACCAACCTTGTGAGCTTTCTGACAACCGAGGTTGTTCTATTACAGGCCATGGTTGAAACTTATCAAAGCACTAAGGATCACTGGAGAGCACTAGGTTATAAAAAGCCATCATGCAGCAAAAACGGCATCCAACCGAGATCACAACAAGGGAGGTAATAACGTAGGTATGAATACAACTTATAGTACACTATTTACCAACAATGGCACCAAAGTATGGGTTGTAGCAAAGTTCACACAGATATATTCTTATTTCTTCGATTCTAATTCACTTTATTTCAGTAAATGTTTTTCTGACATAGAGTTAGCAGTGTTAATGAAACCACATGAATACTTGACAAAAGAGAAATGAGTTACAAAAGCATATAAATCTCAACTAATGCGCTCAATTGTTCTAGCTGATGAACACAAAGATGTATTGTTGTCTCCCTACTACAGGTACATAATCTAATGGCAGAATGCGAGGCCAAATTTTGAATTGTAAAACGCCTTGGTGGTGTGCCTCGAAAGCAATGAAGATTACGCAAGAAACCTTTAGAGTGATTTCAGATTGGTCAGATGAGAGACGTATGCATCAGTCGGCACTTGTTGATTTTTCAAAAAAGAGGTATTTTTACCCATATGAACACCCCAAACTGAAGAGTGTTGTATAAATTCATACCATTGTTAGCTCAAACCTTAATTTCTTTCTATGTTCCCGTTGCTCATTTTTCTCGCATTATTTTCATCCATGTATACAATAAATGTTAAGCATAAACATAAATGAGTCTCAGATCACAATATATTGTTCAGTTTGTGCTTTGATGTATGCAGCATTCATCTGCGTCTAAAGTGAGTACTGTCATGAAATGAACCTTGCGAGGGTCGAGGCTCGAGCTTAATGGTTCGTGCTTATAACTTGGAAACAACTGCACAGAATTTGGGCAGGACACAAGACAAAGAAGGCAAGACAACAGCGCTGTTATTGTGCCTTTTACATCTTGTGTCCTGTCAGAAATTTGTGATTTTTTCCATGTTATAAGTCACTGAAATGACATCCTTGCTTGTTTAGGATCAGTGCCAATTTCCCCTTTTCATGAAACTTCTTCTATTCATTGAATTTCTGTTTACATAATGGATATTCTTGTGCTCCATGTTGTCTTATCAGTTCCACCACACACTGTTATCTGATATCTCCTGGTTAGATCAGGTGGTAGAGCAAGCATCATAAAAGAAGTTTGTCTTGGACTTTGTTTGTTTTCTTCAACTGCAAAGATTTCTTCTTTTTGAGATGCCTATTTCAGGTTCGCTTTGCAGCTTTTAGTTACTCTCTTGTGGATTTTGTTATGCACTGTAGGATTCACACTCTTCATTTTCGAAAGCCATTTGTCTATGTCCATGTTCATATGTAATTTTTATTGAGCAGTATGGTGAGGACATTTGCATGGTTGCTGTTAATATTAGCTTAAAACCACTGGTTTCGCCAACTCTCGGTACAGAAATGGATGAAGAACACAGCATTTAAGACAGGACGAGATAAAAACACCGACGCGGTACTGAACTTTCAAGCAAGGTTCATTGCAAAACAACTGCATATATAGATAGGAAGCGCGTATCTGTGCAGAACAAAACATAACCTGTAATAAGCAAACTAAGCTCGAGCATATTATCAATATGGCATGCGAGTATTCCCTATAATCCTTCACTGCAGTGAAATTACCTATATAAAGGCGGCAACAGTGTGATAGATTCTTGATAATATGCTCGAACTGATTATCTTTGTTGTATGGGCTTTATCACATGTATGTGCATTTTTGCTTGTGTTTCGTAATTTTGCACAGATACCTGCTTTCTATAATTGCAGTTGTTTGCAATAAACTTTGTTGTTAGTTCAGCACCTTGTCTGCATAATTATCCCATTCTGTCTTAAGCAGTGTTTATTTATAAGTCGTCTATTATGTGCCAACCAGCCCAATCATGCACACTGCACATTAAAGGGACATTAAATATAAAGAATTAGTTTTGATATAAATATTGTTTAAACTCTACTGTAATAATTTTGCCATTATAGTTTATTGATAGAATATAAAATGAAGGTCAGAGTTTTATCTTTAAATTTCATGCCGTAATCTCTGCATACAAATGTCAGCGTGAGATCACAGATCTCAAAGTGTTTCATTTTGTTCAGGTGCCAACGAAAGTTACCGAAACTTGGTGTAATCTTCCTTGTAGGGCGATGCTCTTCATCTTTCCAATTTAGAACTATGTAGGCCTCAGTAGACACTGTCAAAATATGTGGCACTATGACTAGTTAAAGAACCAGTAAACAACCCTAGGTTCAAAATTATTGTAAGAGAATACGTGCACTTTTATTCGTGAACATGCTGCCGCAAGAATTTTTCGAAAACTTGCTATTTAGAAAAAGTTACAAGGGCTGCAACATTGTGTCAGCTGGTTTCAATATTCACGCGGTCTCGCCACCCTCTCCTTCAGAGGAAGGGGAAGGCGTGTCCGTCGGACTCCGCCCACTTCGGCAATGTGACAAGACATCAGCGATTGACGCATCGGCGAAACTTATTCAGTCGCAATCACTTCCGCTTATTGCGATGCCTGGTTGTTTTCTGTTTAGCCGGTGCCGATCCCATAGCCCAGTCGCGTGATTTGCAGACGACACAATTTGCAGCAAAACTGCGTTCCTACACCGGACATTAGTGGCCTGATTTTTCTGGAGTTCAATTTTTTGGAGCATACTGCTCGCCATCTGGGTTGCAACAAGACAAAACAAAATATGCGCTTAATAGTGGGGTGCATATCAACAGGTGGCATGAAAATCTGCTCACTCCCGAAGACTGGGTCAGTGAAGTGTCCCACTTTCGAAAGTTCTATGCATGGAGCCTATGGGGAGTTTCGCAACTCCTATGATTGAATAGCTCTGTCGTAGCTGTGGGTGGAAAGAGGAACTGTCGTTGACTTCACTACTATTTGTTGACACCTGGTTTAGAGCAATTTACAAGCTGCGTGCTGCATCACGTTGCCGAGTTGTCATCACTACGCGTGCAAGGAGATTGGTCAAACGTAGGAAAAGAGCGCGGGGATTGTTTTTCAAAATGGAGGCTGTGCGCGGCGCGCAGCTTCGTAATATTCAGAAAACGTGATCGCTGCTGTCTACTCTATGAATTACCAAGCTTGTTTGGGGGTTGTAAAAAAATTTGGAGCCTGTTGCCTGGCCTTTAATGCAGAAACTTCAAAGTGGTGTCACCACCTGCATTTCATTGGTGCACATTTTCTCGCTTATCAGGAGCCTTCGTGAGGCAAATGTTGTGTTTTTGGTATTGTGAACGGGTAATTTACCAACAAAAAAAATCATTTTTCTCTATAGGGTTTTTTTAACGTACGAAGCAATGTTATAATCAGCTAAGGTGTCATTATTTTTTTCCTGACCCCATGCCCGTAAATGCCTCCATTTCAAAGCAGTTGCTGCGAGTATATAATGCTGAAGTTTCTCTTCCACTTATAGGAAGCCAGGGCCCAGTCTAATGTAGGGAAAAGGCTGGCAGACAAGATATGGGAGATTGTTCAGCAGGCAGGCTTCAAATGTTGGAAGAATTTCAAAGCCAGGATAATCTTGTTGCACGGAACTTGTCCACAAAAATTTGGGGTGCTGGACCAGCAACAGCACAAAAGTGGGTCCAGCAGGTGAGTTAGGACTTTTTCCATAGCAGCTTCATATATAGATTGATGCCTAAATTTGCCAAGTATGCGGGCAGTGTTTTGCTGTCTACACAGGTGTGTTCTCCTCTGCTAGAATAACTTGCCTGTGTGATGAAAACTAACAGACAGTAATGCCACTTAAGGTATGGGGCTGTTATTAGAAGTAATTGTAATATAAATGTGAATAGAAGAAGAAAATTGGAAGAAAAGATGACTCGCCGTTGGCAGGATCCGAACCTGCGACCTTCGAATATTGTGTCGGATTCTCTACCACTGAGCTACAGGATATATATGGTCAACTTTGTAGGGTATATATTGCAGTGAGTGCTCCATACTCGGTACAGTGGCGACATGTGGTGCTGACTTTAACTCCCACGTTTCCATACACATACATACCATATTAAAGTAGACGGAGGGATGAACGCCACTGCAGCTCAGTGGTAGAGGACCGGATGCGTTATTCCTTGGTCACAGGTTCGGCTCCTGCCGTTGGCAAGTCATCTTTTTGTCCACTTTTTTGTTTACATTACAGCAGCTAATAAAACGTTAGTCAATTTTTCGAAATGGTCCTGCCGAAATTCGTTACAGATCAACAGCTCTAAAACCAAGGCCGTTCTTTTCCGTGCGAAAGGAATAAATGTACGTACACACAAAAACTGATGCTAAATAATTTCAATATCGAACTTTCAGAGACTGTCAAAACTTTGGGCGTCATCTTTCATCAACATATGTTCTGGAATTCTCACACTGAACAATTGTGTATTAAGCTAAGAAAAGCCCTTGGCGTGCTGAGAAGGTGTCAGTCGTTTCTACCGCTCCCCAGAAACTTCTTATTTTTAATACGCTTTTTTGTTTTCATCTACGCTATTGTCAGTTGGTATGGGCTTCTGGAACTGAAACATCAAAACAAAAGTTGTATACACTTCAAAAAAGCGCTTTGCGGGCTGTTGCAAATATAGGTTACAGAGAACACGCAGCCCAGTCGCTTGATTTGCAGCAAAACTGTGTTGCAAAATCCGGACATTAAGTTGGCCCAATTTTTCTGAGTTCAATTTTTTGGGAGCAGACTGCCGCACGATCTGGGAGCAACAACACAAAACACAAATAATGCACTTATAGTGGGTGTGCATATCAACAGGTGGCATGAAAATCTGCTCACTCCCGAAGACTGGGTCAGTGAAGTGTCCCACTTTCGAAAGTTTCTATGCATGGAGCCTATGGGGAGTTTCGCAACTCCTATGATTGAATAGCTCTGTCGTAGCTGTGGGTGGAAAGAGGAACTGTCGTTGACTTCACTACTATTGTTGACACCTGGTTTAGAGCAATTTACAAGCTGCGTGCTGCATCACGTTGCCGAGTTGTCATCACTACGCGTGCAAGGAGATTGGTCAAAGTAGGAAAAGAGCGCGGGGATTGTTTTTCAAAATGGAGGCTTGTGCGCGGCGCGCAGCTTCGTAATATTCAGAAAACGTGATCGCTGCTGTCTACTCTATGAATTACCAAGCTTGTTTGGGGGTTGTAAAAAAAATTTGGAGCCTGTTGCCTGGCCCTTTAATGCAGAAACTTCAAAGTGGTGTCACCACCTGCATTTCATTGGTGCACATTTTCTCGCTTATCAGGAGCCTTCGTGAGGCAAATGTTGTGTTTTTGGTATTGTGAACGGGTAATTTACCAACAAAAAAAATCATTTTTCTCTATAGGGTTTTTTTAACGTACAAAGGAATGTTAGAATCAGCTAAAATGTCATTATTTGTTTCCTGGCCACGTGCCCGTAAATGTCTCTATTTCAAAGCAGTTGCTGCAAGTACATGTTGCTGAAGTTTCTTTTCCACTGATAGGAAGCCAGGGCCCTGCCTAATGTAGGAAAAAGGCTGGCAGACAAAATATGGGAGATTGTTCAGCAGGGCAGGCTTCAAAAGCTGGAAGAATTTCAAAGCCAGGAGAACCTTGTTGCACAGAACTTGTTCACAAAAATCTGGGGTGCTGGGCCAGCAACAGCACAAAAGTGGGTCCAGCAGGTGAGTTCGGACTCTTTCCATAGCAGCTTCATAGATAGATTTATGCCTAAATTTGCCAACTATGCTGGCAGTGTTTTGCTGTCTACACAGGTGTGTTCTCCTCTGCTAGAATAACTTGCCTGCGTTGATGAAAACTAACATACAGTATGCCAGTTAAGGTATGGGGCTGTTTTTAGAAGTAATTGTAATGTAAATGGGAATAGAACGAAGAAAATTGGAAGAAAAGGTGACTTGCCATTGGCAGGATCCGAACCTGCGACCTTCGAATAACACGTCAGATGCTCTACCACTGAGCTACAGGATATATATTGTCCACTTTGTAGGGTATATATTGCAGTGAGTGCTCCATACTCGGTGCAGTGGCGACATGTGGTGCTGACTGAGACTCCCAAGTTTCCATACACATACATACCCTATTAAGTGGACGGAGGGATGACCTCTACTGGCTCAGTGATAGAGCATCGTACGCGTTATTCGATGGTCGCAGGTTCGGATCCTGCCATTGGCAAGTCATCTTTTTGTCCACTTTCTATTGTTCACATTTACATTACAATTACTTCTAATAACAGCTCTCATACTTTCCCTGGCATTATTACCTATTAGTTCTCATTAAAACTGTCTAACAATGAAAATGAACCCTTAAAATTTTACTTTCCTTCATTCATAGCGAGGGTCTAGTTCTGGCAGACTTGATGCCTTGAGGTGGCATGCGAACTATTATTGGTCAGCTGCCATCTCGTATAAGATCACATACTACGTGACATCAAACAGGCAAAAAGAGTGTTGCACACTTGCTGCAATGACAACAGGTGGCACTAAATGAAGCTCCCACACTTACATGTACATATATACCCCACAAAGTGGACGGAGAGATAACCGCCACCGTAGCTCAGTGGCAGAGCATCGAACATATTATTCGAAGGTTGCAGGCTCGGATCCTGCTGGTGGCAAGTCATCTTTTCTTCCACTTTTCTTTGTTCACATTTACATTGCAAGTACTTCTAATAACAGCCCCCATGCTCTCCCTGACATTATTGTCTATTATTTCTCATTACTACTGTGTCTAACAATGAAAACGAGCCCTTAAAAATTTCCACTGTCTGCGTCGGGACAAACAAGAATGTGGCGGTACTCTCTTTCTTTCTCTTCCCTCTTTCTTTTTATGCTGCAAGGGTTTTCGTTCACTGGAAGCACTTGCTGCCAAAGGAATCTGAGCAGCCAGCAGAAAATCGGGCTCAAGCACTTCCATGACTTCCTTGAGAAGATGCCGTCTGCAGAAGCAGAGTTGATTGCAGACACAGTATGTCAAGAGCGTGAGATAACCTTTTAACCATTGATTTGTTAACAGTGCGGTCACTGCAGGTGAAGAAAGCAGCCCTGTCAATCCAGCCTGCACTGGAGGTGATTCCGTGTGGCTCCTATCGCAGAGGCCGAGCCATGTGCGGTGATGTTGATGTCCTGATCACGCACCCTGATGGCAAGTCTCATGAAGGCGTCCTCTGCAAGATACTGCAGGTCCTTCATGAAAGCCGTAAGTTCTCTTGAAAAACAATCTTTACTGCAACAAACAAAAGTGTGTCTGCATCATAATATGGCATATTTCCATTTGTTGAATCGAATTCATGTCATGGCATTAAGAAATACAGTACGACTGGAACTATGTGTATGGTATTATACTTTTTTGTATTGTCATCACTTTAAAAAGTAAGTGGCTCTTTACTTTTTGTCAGTTCAATATTGCTTGACACTTTTTGACAATTCTAAGCACAGGGAGTATATTTATTTATTCATTATTTATTAGAAATACTTTCAGGGCTCTAAGCCACTATTGAAAGGAGTCGTGGGAGAAAGAGTTAGATATACAGTTAGCATAGAAAATGTTCCAAAGCATTTTCTAGAGCAGCCCTAACCTCTTGATCTTCTGTTATGCTAGCAGTCGTAGCGAGAAGGGGATTCCAGGGGACGCGTGTTCTCAAAGCAAAACATTCATTACACACTTATGTGTGATACGATGGTAGCTGGATACACATTATAGCAATGATTCCTCCTTGCTGATGTGTAACAACAAGGATAAACTAAAGCATCTTTTAAAGTGTTGTAATGATGAATTTTGGGGCATTAGTAATGTGAATAATTTATTAAAATGAAACATGCTGTGCAATTTGGAACAACTGTGAGAGTTTGAATGCAAGTCATATTAGTGGGATCCCATAAGGTGCCAGCTTACTCTAACTTACAATGTACTGAGGTTTTATAAAGTAAGTATGTGGACAATTCGTTGTAATGTGGAGAAAAACTCGCGTGCTTTAACATTTAGCTGTATTGTCATATCCCATTTATTGCATCGTTACAATACTCTATCTAGGTCGCTTTTGCAGCTCAAAATAATCAGTATTATCAATATATTTCTGCTAAAGTACCCAGTCGTCTCCAAATAGCTAGATAGTTAAAGACATTTAAAAGGCAAGGCGGAAGATCATTAACATAAATTAACAAGAGTAGGAGGCCAATAATGGACCCTTGCTGGACACCAGATGTTACAGCAAAATTGGGTGAACAAAAATCGTTAGCTGTCTCTAACTGGCTGCTGCTAACTGGTTAGAAATTTCTTAATCTATGCAACTACACCAGGGTCTAAGTTCAAGTGGTTAATTGTGAAGATAAGTAGCTTGTGTGAGACAGTGAAATGCTTTAGCAAATTTCAAATATATGCAGTCAGTGTGAATTTCAAGATTGCATTAATGAATAAGTCATTACTAAAACATAGTAAATGCATTTCACACTGCTTTAAGGCATCCATGCTTATAAATACTTAACACGGAATTGAACTCAACAATTAAATGAGGTGTGGGTGTATTATGTTTTTGAGACATTTACTGGAAGGTATGTTAGTACCTAATATCGGGCAGTAGTTATTAGGCTAATGTAAATCAAGTTTCTGCATAGAGGCCAACTTCCTGAGGTAATTGTAGACATCTGTAATGACAGTTTCAAAACTTGTAGCATGCTTGGGCTTTGCCTTTTAGACTGGAACGCAGTAACATAGTTGAGCCTCATTTTCATCACCTTATCATTTGCTAGCTACGCTTTGATTCTCAATGGACATTTTAGTCATGCTGTGAGGAAAATGTCTGTGCGTATAGCATTGACTGCTTTAAACTATCCTAGAATTGCCAGTGCATGTACAGTTGTGAAGTGTCCACCACACCTTATTTTATCATTTTATGAATTACTGAAGTAGTACCTACACAGTTGAACACTTTGTTTGTGCAATGGCTGATGATGATAGTCAATTATGCCTGAGTGCTTTATAATGTGTTGGTACCACCCACTCGTTGCACAATCCACATAGCGTGACAACTTGTCTGATTCATCTGCCATGCAATACTACATGCGGTAATGCGATGAATATAACCAATATTATTGCACCAACTGCTTCAATAATTTGTCTTTTAATAATGCGGGAATACTGTAGGGGTGCTCTTAAAAGAATGTGTAGAAAGCACATTGTTCAGAATACTGCTGCAATTGCAAAGGACCACTGGAACATTAGATTGGAATCATTGAAGATGTTGCATCTTAGTACTGTTAATAGTGCTCCAAAATGTACAGGCTTGAAAGGCAGCAGCAAAGAAAGAGTTTTACGAAAGAATTCCTTCTTAGCTTTTGAAATCGCAGTACAGAACTGGCAGTAAGATTTTTTTTTTCTTATAGGAAGACCATTGATCAGTACTGGCTGTTAATATTGTACGTCAAAATGCCCATTCCTTTTTGTTACACATACACTTTAAGGGGGGACATGGTGTGTGGAGATATTTTCTGTATTTGTGGACCAAACATGATGAAAATATACATGCTTATGTAGTTTCTCCTGCTGATTTCAAATATGCAAAAGTTTTCATTGTAGGTCAATTATTTAGAAGATACACAATGCTGCCACTCTATTGTTTTTGGAGACAATAGAAAAGAAAGGGCTTATCAAAAAGTAAATATTATTGCATAGCTAGACAGTGTAATCAGCAATAAGTGCAATGCTGCAAGCAGATTTAAAATAAAGAAAAACTAGTGATTCTGTAAATGATGAAAGTTGAGGAGTCATGTCATGGCTATCATATACAAAGAAATTTAATACCTTTTTAATACCTTCTAAACTTATATGGGCAGCAAATGGAAATTCTGCTCTCAGCACTTTGCAATACACAGATTGGGCTTTATGATAATGAGAAAATTATTGCTCTAGCTGTTCTAGATTGCAAGATATCAACCCGACAGACTAGTAAAGTCACCAAAAAGCATGTTTTCAGAAAACTGAGGAAAAGAAATAAAACTCAATCATTTACATAACTGCACTTGAAAATGCTCAGTATGCACCGGGCATGTAGTCCTTTTGACTATGAGTCCCTGTGTGGTGCTTTTTCAGGGACTGGTGCATGTTCTCCATTGCTTGTCGCTTCTTGACTAATGCTGCCGTGCGCCGTCGATCCTTTTCAGCCATGCGGCTGCGGCTTTGCCAGCTGAGGATTAGGCTCAGCTCTTTCATAATGTCCTCTGATGCCTTTTTATTGCCTGCATTGAACTTGAGCACTGCTTCTGCCACAGCTGCCTCCACCATGAATAGCGAAGCATGTCGCTTCTTTGGTGCCAGCGCCCTGATCATTGAATGCAGGCATTCGTTGTCATTTTAGGTTTTCCCTCGCTGGCATCGTTGCGACAGCTTTCTGTCTGACAAGCACTCATAAATGGGAAGTAAGGCTTGGCAGACATGTGGAGGAAGCTTTCAACTATGTTTGGGAATGGGCTCCCCCTTGGCCTTTGCCGCATTTTGTTTGCACCAGGAATTTGGACCAGGTGGGCACAGAGTGAGCTTTGCCACATCATCATTGGACGTGATGTGATGATAAGTGGCCGTCACTGCTGTGTGCACAGCATCAACATTGCCACTGTGTGTCTTCAGAGCCCACCCATAATAATTGGTGAGCTTGGAGATCAGGTCTCCTGTCAAGCGGCCCTTTCCCCCAAGACTCTCAAGGCCAAGGCCTTTGTGTTTTGCAATCAAGTTGCGCAAAGCAGTGCCCAAATGCTTTTGGACATGATTAATAATGCAGTCCTCTTTTTCCACTGGGATATACCCATAAACCTTAACTTCTTGTAGCGCAAGGTAACTGCGGCTGTCCCCGTCGCAAAGCACCGTGGTGTAGCGCAGGTTGTGCCGCTCAAGTGACTTCTTGAAGAGGACGAGGGCAGCCTCAACCTCCATTTCTCCAGCCTTCTTGTCACTGCTTTTCTGACACTGGTGATGTTCCTTCCACACTGCATAAGAAGGGTCACCTTCCTTTGGGCCCGACTCGCATCCAACACAAAAGTTGCTCAAAACAACGAAGTCAAGCACCAGCCCGCTGAACAATTCTATGACGGTGTCGAGACCAATATGCGACGAATGACTACGAGTCATCCATTACCCATCAAACGACATCGTGATGTTTCCCATGTGGCCTATATTAAGTTCGGCGTAAAGTTCGCGAACCGACCACGCGCAGTCGCTCGTCAAATTGCGTGCAGCACGATCGGCCCGTTGCCTGCATGGCATGCGCGGCCAAAACGTTCACAGCAAAAGGTCACAGCAAAAACGTTCATCGCTACGTACGTGCGGCGAGCTCCACAACGACGCAGTCTCCCCACAGGTTGAACACACAAAACACAACTTCACGGCGATTCCGAATTCCCGGTCGTCGCGGACAATCTGCAGTTCTCCGTTGCATGCCTTGCGCTTTGCGAATGCCAACAAAGCACTGTTCACTGTGTCCAAATCTATAATTGTGAACGTGGTTCCATCAGGCGGCCGAGCTGCTTCGTCGGCACCGTCAACCACGAATGCGCGTTTCTGCTCCGTCGCTGCAGCGGACGACAACTCCGATAACTTATCTTCGGCTTTAGCTCGCTCCTCTTCCTAGTCAGCTTGCTGTCGATAGATAGTATCTAGACGCACGCGACCGCTGCTCGAAAGCTTCGCGGCTGACGGACTTTGCCTAGGCTCCGTGACAACTGATGCGGTAGCTAGGCCTTCTGTGGTAGCGTCGACGACTTTGCCATAGGTCGCAAAGAGTGTAGCGTCTCGGGGGTTTTTCTGTATCACGGAGCGCTTCTTGAAATTCGTGACTAGCGTCCTTCACAGCTTTTTCGCACTAAACTTGTGCCGCATGCGGAATTTGCGCTCAGGATTTGACATCGTGAAACTTCTCCGCTGACACTGAGGCAAAATGGCGCATATGGACGTGCGCCTCAATACCCGGAGCAGACGAAGCCAGGAGCCTCCACCAATAGGGAGGCAAGCTGAAGTCACGTGCATGAAGTAGCGAATAGGAAGGCGCTCTGATACGTACTTCTTTTTGCCACTCATTTTACAAGCTGCCAATGGTGGAATTGGACCCATTCTGGCGGGAATTTGAAGGCGAAAGACGGCTCTCTCAAATGAGACCAAGCGGGCCGCGCTGGCACACATGAAAGGGCAGGGGCACGTCACGGAAAGTGTGC